ACAGCACACCCCGTGACACTCGGCTTTAGGGACAGCAGACGCCCGTGACACTCGGCTTTAGTAACAGCACACCCCGTGACACTCGGCTTTAGTAACAGCAGACCCCGTGACACTCGGCTTTAGAAACAGCAGACCCCGTGACACTCGGCTTTAGTGACAGCACACCCCGTGACACTCGACTTTAGTAACAGCACACTCCGTGACACTCAGCTTTAGTAACCAGCAGACGCCCGTGACACTCGGCTTTAGTAACAGCAGACGCCCGTAACACTCGGCTTTAGAAACAGCGACCCCCGTGACACTCGGCTTTAGAAACAGCACACCCCGTGACACTCGACTTTAGTGACAGCACACTCCGTGACACTCAGCTTTAGTAACAGCAGACGCCCGTGACACTCGGCTTTAGTAACAGCAGACGCCCGTAACACTCGGCTTTAGAAACAGCAGACCCCGTGACACTCGGCTTTAGAAACTGCACACCCCGTGACACTCGGCTTAGAAACAGCAGACCCCGTGACACTCGGCTTTAGAAACAGCAGACGCCCGTGACACTCGGCTTTAGTAACAGCAGATGCCCGTGACGCTCGGCTTTAGGGACAGCAGACGCCCGTGACACTCGGCTTTAGAAACAGCAGACGCCCGTGACACTCGGCTTTAGTAACAGCAGACGCCCGTAACACTCGGCTTTAGTAACAGCAGATGCCCGTGACACTCGGCTTTAGGGACAGCAGACGCCCGTGGCACTCGGCTTTAGTAACAGCAGACCCCGTGACACTCGGCTTTAGGGACAGCAGACGCCCGTGACACTCGGCTTTAGAAACAGCAGACGCCCGTGACACTCGGCTTTAGTAACAGCAGACGCCCGTAACACTCGGCTTTAGTAACAGCAGATGCCCGTGACACTCGGCTTTAGACAGCAGACGCCCGTGGCACTCGGCCTTAGAAACAGCAGACCCCGTGACACTCGGCTTTAGTAACAGTAGACGCCCGTGACACTCGGCTTTAGTAACAGCAGACGCCCGTGATACTCGGCTTTAGAAACAGCAGACGCCCGTGACACTCGGCTTTAGTAACAGCAGACGCCCGTGACACCGGCTTTAGTAACACAAACGCCCGTGACACTCGGCTTTAGAAACAGCAGACGCCCGTGACACTCGGCTTTAGAAACAGCACCCCGTGACACTCGGCTTTAGAAACAGCAGACGCCCGTGGCACCCGGCTTTAGAAACAGCAGACCCCGTGACACTCGGCTCTAGTAACAGCAGACGCCCGTACACTCGCTTTAGTAACAGCAGACGCCCGTGACACTCGGCTTTAGAAACAGCAGACGCCGTGACACTCGGCTTTAGTGACAGCACACCCCGTGACACTCGGCTTTGAAACAGCAGACGCCCGTGACACTCGGCTTTAGTAACAACAGACGCTCGTGACACTCGGCTTTAGTAACAGCAGACGCCCGTGACACTCGGCTTTAGAAACAGCAGACGCCCGTGACACTCGGCTTTAGAAACAGCAGACCCCGTGACACTCGGCTTTAGAAACAGCACACCCCGTGACACTCGGCTTTAGTAACAGCAGACGCCCGTGACACTCGGCTTTAGGGTACAGCAGACGCCCCTGACACTCGACTTTAGTAACAGCACGCGGGCGTGATAGGCGCCCCAGGTGATGCTTCGCTGCGTGAGCAGCCAGGCGCCGTGAAAAGCGGCGGCGTGTGCCCATCGTCACTGTGTTAGGCGGCAATGGCTTTAATTGTTGGCTGTGGTCTGTCTTAGAAATGGTAAACAGCTGCAAGCGTCATGCTAGACAGCTGACGGGCCTGCGCTTGTCAGAGGCGGATCCAGGAGTTTTGATCGGGGGAATATTTTCCCTAAGGGCGGCACGGGTGTCAGGTGCCGTCAGTGTAAGCAAAACGAGCATACGCGGCATGTTAATATAGGGCATGCCTTTTATACAGACTGGTGCGCAGATTCCCAGGGTTCGAGTCTAGTCCAATCCCGTCCCACGAGAAGATAGGAAGCGCGCCAATAGCAGGGCGCGAGAGGTCGCAGTTCTCATTAATAATCCCACTGAACACGATGCATGGCGATTTTTACGAAAAATGGGCCTGACCTCATTCGCGAAATTTGCTCAACATCGTCGAAATGCCTACGTCCATAAGCTATCTCTACATCGTTCCCAAAAGTACTTCAGCACGTTTTTCACTCAACGAGCGCGTTTTTTATGAATTCCCAAACGCAAGTGTTTGTGAAGATCTCACCTCAGTATCACACGGCATGACGTCATGAATGCTGACATACCAGACAGGATGACTGTCGAAATAATTTCTCCATCCGCTGTAGTAACACCTCGTGTCGAAATAATTTTTCCATCCGCTGTAGTAACACCTCGTCTTAATCATTTAGTGGAACTGCATCGCGGTGAAGTTTATTCGTTCAATCAACGTTCGTATTCAATAATCAACGTATTCGTTCAATCAACGTTCAATCAACGTTCAAACACAGATCGTCCCCAATCAACGCGCGTTCTGCTAACCGGGATACCCTCGATCTTCTTTGAGCGATTTTCCAGAGCGTCGGTTTCCATTGGGACCAGGGGTATAGTTTTCTTTTCAGTTGGGTGTGGGGGGGCGGCTTCAAGCCTCAAATTAAGCTCCAGCCACCTGGCCAAAGCTGGGAAGGAACCTGTTTGTTAGCGAATTTTGGGGTTAGGTTTCGTAACTGTTCACGGTTCAGCCTCCTTCCCCCCCCCCCCCCCTCCAACTTACTTTGCGAGACTACTCTACATATCGCTAGAGAGGGGCGCAGAGGACAGACGAGACTACGCCCCTTTTCTGTACAGAGGGCTCTGATTTTCCGTTTTAAGCTTCGCGTGATATTAAGCGTGATTGCTTTACATATCGCCTTCATGAAGGCAGTGTTACTTTGCAACTGACTTTCCCGCAAGATCGGGGTCGTCCACTTACGAAAGAGCAGCATTTTTGTCCCAATCACCGCCCATGTCATTGGTCAATCAATGGTCATTGTCAGGGACATATTGTGGGGAAACCAGAACGGGGCCATTATTTCATTACCGGGTCCACTTCAACTCAAGGGGCGGCCATGAATAAATGAGCACCTATTTTGTGAAGGCAGCTACACGTACCGGCACCATGGCGTCGCTTTGAGAAGTGTGCCACGTTTCTGAGATTAGAGAGGGAACAAATCAGGATTGGCAGTTGGGGTGGGGGGCGGGTGGGGTGGGGGATGGCAAGCCGTAAATTAGGGACAACCTTGCCTAAAGTCGCTATTTTGTATACGGAAATGGTAGTAAAATGCGCTCACGGACCGAATTAGATAAGGATATCCCACGGGGGGGGGGGGGGGCATTGGTGGCATACGTATCCCCCGTCCCCTCAAGTGGTTACGCCAATGCGGGCGCTCCGCTCAGATGACAGAGGGATAGGACGTAAATTCAGTTAAGTCTTATGGTGCCCTCGACCTCTCAAAACAATACTGTTTACTGCACTTCCTGCTCTGGGCGACACCAAAGTCTTCGGACTGCACGTCTTTAATCCTGCAGCTGCAGAAAATGCGGGTAGAAAGGGATGGCACCTACGGAATGCGGATATGCAGAAACTTTGATATACAACGATAAATGCAATCCAATGGTTTAGCTTTCTATGAATAGCGCTTACTGGGCCCTTCGAGCATATCGTTGAGCAGTTCCGAAGACAATGACCGGAAAAAATATTCAGCAATTCGTTTGTGTCTCGTGAAAATAGGATGTGCAGTACGATCTCCGTTTCGTTGAAAGGGAAATACAATCAGACGCTGGTCATATCGTATATTTACAAGCCGTTTCCAGTAGCGTGGGCTGATCAGAGGGTGTCTGACACGCTTTTGTCCCTGAGGTATAAAGTCGAATCGCTACTCTTCGTCAATTGGACAATGTCAACGGACATAACTGTTGAACGCCCTTGCCAGCCGCTTTAAAGGCAGAAAATTAAAACGAGCATTGCTTGTCAGCACGCTTATGTCAAGCACCAAAGCCTGTGGGGCGAAAACAACTGGTTGTGCTGCAGCAGTGTGCTGCCGTTTCACCGACGCTGCGGGCTCTCCGCTGTTTTCTACAATAGTAACATTACTCCGATGGCGGCCGGGGTGAGTAATGGCAGCTCGTGTTCCGGCCGCCCGCTCGATTGTTTTGATAAGCGGCGGCGACGCTCGGTCAATAGAAAATTGGTGGTGGATCTTGTATCGCGTGCAGCGTCAGGCCGCTCCTCACCCCCCCCCCCCCCCCCTCTCACCGCCCCCCCCGCGGCGGCGCGCGGCGAACTTTCCTGGCGCAGATCCAACTGTTTGCCACCTGTAAATTTATGGATACTAAAGTGAATGCTTGAACTTAATTATTCGCGATTAGGCGAAATGGAGGTACATTTATCCGGACAGTCCGCTTTGAAATGGTCATGGGCCGGGTCTAATGGACTGTCACAAGTCTTCTGAGGCGGGCTCTGGCGACACGCAGCAGCGGAACATCGCACTGGAATGCCACGGCATCGGCTGAACAGCACGGCGGCGCGCCGCCGCCAGCCTGGCCGCCAAATTTAGCCGGGACTGTCAGGGAATGTTCGGTGCAGATATTGGATTTTGAGCTGTAATAAAAGTTCAGTCTGTTGGCTGAACTGGCACGATCAGAAGCACGCACACCTTGATGTACTGGGAGGTGAATGATGGTTAATGCAGGATGGCGTGTTCAGATGCTGCCAGGCTCAGACGTCCACGCCCAGTCTACTGTGGCTTAATGAAAACCGTGCTTTGGTGATGTGTTCATCAGGTGTACGCACCGCAAAAATGCGCCACTACTAATTTCCATTCACGAACGTGTGTATGTTGTCGTTCTCGTTCATGACAAGCCGTGGCAATTCATGTCGCATTGTCGCATGTCAGTTTCGAAGCCAGCTGTCGCCCGGTTGCTCAGCCACGTGACGCGATCTCTCTCTCTCTCTCCCTCTCTTCCAGAACTCTCTGCTGCGGGCCTTGCGGCCTTGGCCACGGCAGGAGGTCATCCTCAGACGGGCCGGGCGGCAGCGGCTGTCGGAAGGACAGTGGCGGACACCCCCGCTGGAAGGCACTACCCCACGCAGGTGACCGTGCGGGCACAGTGCCTGGGCCTAATGGCGGACTGCGTTCAATAGATGTGCATCCTATGAGGAACGAGCAAAAACTTATGATGCATGTGGTGGTCATACCCTTTCCACGGTGCATAGGTATGCAGAGGTATTTGAAGTCTTACTATTCATCCTCCACTGAAGAAAGTATTGTCCAAAGTAGGCTAGAAGTGATCGGGACATATTTTACAGACGCGTACAATGTTTCCGATGACATGCTTGTTATTAAAGTTGAATTGTCTGTGATATATAGAAACTAATCATTTCCTGGATACGTATAATTACATACTGCGAGATTTCCTCGGTAAGTGGCTTATGTCTGTTCATCACACTCGAAGGCTCGGTCACTTTGGAATGCCAATGCCTTACCGAGGCTGGTGCGCTCAGCATCAAAGTTAACTCTGCTAGTTTGTCACGCCAATGACTTATCGAATTGGTACACCTAACTCTAAAGGAATGCGCCCGGAGACTGAGGCAGCCGGGTCATCTGCAGGGCTCGGTGCGACCGGTTCTGGGCATCGCCCGCGCCCCGCAGCACCAGCGCGATGTTCACTGCAGTGGCCCGTTTCAGGCTCGCGGAAGGCCCGGCGGCGGCCGCTGCGGAGGATCCGGAGGAGCCGGAGGAGCCGGCTGCGCCGTCGCCCCGGTCGGCGCCGCCGGCCTCGGAGCGGTGCCGGGCGTGGCGCGGCCCAGGCGCGGGGCCATCGACTTCCTGGAGTGCGTTCGCGCCCGGACCGGGCTGCCGCGCTGGCTGGTCGGCCTCGTGCTCACCGCCGCCCTGCTGGCCACCGTCTGGTTAACGGCCTCCTTCCTGCTGCCGCTCACGGCTGTCCCGGTCAGTCACGTGCTGCTCCTCACTGTGTCCCTGTCAGTCACGTGCTGTCGCTCACTGTTGTCCCGGTCAGTCAAGTGCTGTCCCTCACTACTGTCCCGTCAGTCACGTGCTGCCGCTCGCGGCTGTCGCGGTCATCACCTGCTGTCCCTCACTGTTGTGTCGGTCAGTCACCTACCGCCCTCACTACTACTGTCCCTGTCAGTCACGTGCTGTCCCGGTCGTGCTGATCCTCATTGCTGTCCTGGTCAGTCACGTGCTGTCCCGGTCAGTCACGTGCTGCCGCTCACGCTTTCCCGGTCAGTCACGTGCTGTCCCCGCACTGGTGTC